ATGATCAAGGAATTTTGCATAAGGCCTGCTATGATGCTTTAATCCTTTTATTTTATTATTACCACTAAATCATCAGCGTAGCCTAAGACTGTGAGTCCGGCTTTGATGGGTCAGACCAGGATGCATTTTTCCGTTTCCTATTTGGTTACCGCTACATGGAGCACTTATCCTTTAGGACTTGTAAAATTACATCGGGCATCGCGTTTCCTATTAGGCCAGCGCACATAGTCTACCGCTTTATGGAGCGCTAATCATACAGTACTTAAATTATATCTAACGTCGCGTTTCCTATTAGATCAGCGCACACCCTCTGCGATCGTCTGCAGACATGCATTGCACAGCAATCCATTCCATAATCGTTGTCATTTTTTGAGGTTGATTGGTTTCAGGTGGGGCAATATTTGGTAATATTTCTCGTTGTGTTTCGTTTTATTATTTCTGTTGATTCTGCACTGAGAAATCCTCTAGCCAAAAATTCTTTACTAATGGATTTTCGGCTATCATAGCAGACATTGTAGCTGTAATTGTAAAACGATCCTATTCTAGTAGTAGAACGCACTTTACTAAGTTAGCAAAAAGTACCTTGGTTGTAACAGTAAAGTTCTTTGCTGCCACTAATATTTTTTTCCTGTAACAGTAGAAACATTTATTAATAATAAGTATATTTTCTACCGCGGCAAAGTACTTGCCTGCAACCATATGAAAAAGTTTTTCATAAGTATTTTTTTATCACAGCTGGAAAGAATTTGGCTGCCACAAAAAAAGGTAAACTCTGCGAGTTGTTTAATTAATTATTATTAAAAGCCAGCCCAATGTCAAAAGTCATATAAAAGCATGGTTGGTAAAATGAGCGGAGTTATTTTGGCTATGGTCTAAATATAACCAAATGTTAACCAAAGTAACCGAATCGGTTGACAGATGGTTACTGAAAATTCCGGTCACTTGAGGAACACGAATATGAAAATAAATAAAAAATAATTGACAGAAATTACAGATAAAATCAACAGAACCGACATCCGATGGCCGGTAACAATTTTGACATTTGGTTAACCAGATTTCAGTACACCGAGGTTCAAAAGTAACCACTTTTCCAGGAACCAGAGTAATTTGATTACTTTCGGACCGCGGAACCACAACCCTGGTTATATTCGGACCACAACCTTAATTTATGTGCGCTGGTCTTATAGAAAACGCGACGTTAGATATAATTTAACAAGTCCTATATGATGAGCGCTCCATGTAGCGGTAGACAATGTGCGCTGGCCTAACTGGAAACGCGATGCCAGATTTAATTTTACAAGTCCCAAAGGATTAGCGATCCATGTAGCGGTAACCAAATAGGAAACGGCAAAATGCGACCAGAACTAGCGTTCACAACATTAGAGACGAGAAGAAACCCCTTTGTGGAGAGCCATAATGGGAGCTTCTACACTCCTTTACTCGAGAGATTTTTCGATGGATCGGCATATATTTTCTCCCTTCTGCTAGAGAGATTTCTTCTGCTACAAGTGCATATTCTGCGCTACGTTACGTCTGTTGCTAGAAAATAAAGCGCGCTTGTATAATATTTGCTTGCATTATAAGCAAAATTTCTTGGATGGAGCGATCTGCTGTTTGAAATTTCGCCCATGATCTGTTGCTTTTCTTTATTTTTGAGAAGAAAGGACGTAAGGCTGATGGGTCGGTAGGTCTGGCAGGCGTCCTGCCTTTGGCATAAATATTACACCAGCCTCTCTTCATGCATTCCTTTTTCCTTTAGGATTTTGAAACCCCTTTGCAGCAAAGCCGGATGTATTTTAGATTAGGAAAAACCATAAATATCCCTAAGTATGGCTACTTATAAAAAAATTATTTGACACAGCAGCAGTGAAAACAAGCTCTAACAATCAATATTTGAATAATTAGAAAAATACTGCTACTAGTTCGCACTACCTATACTTCTACGTTGAAAAGATGTCAATCATAAACGCCAGTTTCAAGCACAATTGCTGAAATTTTGAAAAAAAATACATAAATATAGGTTACCTACTAAACGAATCCATTCATGTTCCTCTCCGCCTGGAATAGAGGAAAATTCCTGCGCTATTCAATTAAATTTAAAAAAAAAAGGAGTGGCGGGGTGGTGACGTAATAGGCGGCTATACAGCCCCTCCGCATGTGATGTAAGCGACTTGCGGAATTTTGGCAGGGAGCCAAACAAGAATCTGGCTCTCTAGCGCAGTGCAGTCGGCATGAATGAACATCTCCCGATTGTGTAGAGAGCCACGATGTTGCAGTCACGCTGGATCAATACTTTTTGGTGTTGAGCACCGAATTCGAAGTAATCCAAACTTCTCCAATTTTTTTTTTTTTTCTACAAACGTTATTGTTGTCTTATATGCCATTCTATGACACTGGTATTGAAAGTGATATACTTTCAGCACTTGTTTTATAATTGAAGTTTAATGATGTTTTGAGAAAATAGTGTATGATATAAAGTCTGTTTTTTTTTAAAGATGAAAATCAAAATGACATTATGTTGGTAATACAATGTAAAATTGTCGATGCTTTCAAATTTTTTATGAAGAAAAGGCTTGTGTTTGCCAACATAGTTACTAAATTTTTGACTTGGGAAATTATCTTTAAAAAAAAAACAGACTTTACGTGCTAAAAGTGATTGTGAGAAGGTAAGTTTGAGAAATGACTCGGAATACCGATTGAAATTCGTCCCTTAAAGGGCCACTTAAGGCACTCATATCATAAATACATTATTGTCTCTTCGTTTTGAATAGGTTAAATAAAATTCAAATAAGTCCCATTTTTTGTACAGATACGTTTGTAGATAAGATACTTTTTTACAAAATGTCTCTTGAAATTTTTCGTGTATCCTTTGGTTGACTTAATTGTTGATTCATCTGAAGCTGATGAGCTGGGAGCTTAAAATCTTCTCATGGGTAGATAAGATATAGATATAGAGTTTCCCCTAAGTCTTCACCCATATAAAGGGGTTACTTGAAACCCTATCAAAAAGTTGTACAAATAACAGTAATTTACGTTCAAAATCCGGGTACGAGATAAGACAGTTTTAAAAGTACACATAAAATCAAATTGAAAACACCCTTGTATACAAAGGCTTCAAGTAAAACTAGCTTTATTTGCACATTTTGCCGAATTAAAAAAAAAAAAAACATTTAATACCAGAGACCTACTTTATTTCACTCACTTCAATAACAGTAGGTTCTCTTAGAGACGAAGATGAAAAGAAAATTTCTTCATTATTAATTCATCAAGTTGCAGAAGCAGAGAACACTGAAAATAGATAAGTAAAATCTCATTTAAAAGATTCAATGCTTATAAATTTAAAACAAGGAAAGGAGGCTACTTGAATGTGTTCAAAGTAAGGTAGAAAGCAATTTGTAATTCATGCGCAATTCAAATTCATTGAAAACTTAGCGTAGTACTTGTTAGGTTCCGGCACTGAAGTTGAAATTGTGTAAAAACAACGACGACGAGAATTACAGATCTGCATACGATAAAAAGTCACAAACAATATAAAACTTTTGACCAAAAAAAATTAAAATCTTAACTCCTATGTCGGAACCTGACAAATAGTACAAAAGCGTTCAACTACGCTAAGTTTTCAATAAATTTGAATTGTGCATGGAATACGAAGTGTTTCCTTCCTTACCATAAATTTAAAAGAAATTGTAGCTTAAGATGCAGAATATTAAAAGCTCATATATAATTGCCTAGAAGTAAAAAGCAGCTAGCAAACAGCAAACTAAACGCTTGTAAACCCTCTATATGCGGTATCTGTTCGTCAAATCAACCCTGTCATGATGTGTAAAATATTCGCATATATTATAATGATTATTATGTTTTGGTTTTAAGTTTGCTACTGTTTACTTAAACTCTTATGTTCCCTCCTTAATTTTTATTATTAAATCTGCCTTATTGACTTTAATAAGTTGGCGTTTGTTTTCTCATTTATTACAGACCTCTTGAGGTTCTTTGCCGTTTTTATATTAATATCACAGCTATCTGACTGTAGGGAAAAAACGGGTGGCGCTATTTGTTTTACAGTCTTTTATCCACGACCACTCTCCGCTACTGAAGCCGGCAACGATTGCACTTATACCCCTAACAGGTGATACTGTTTTGAATCATTCTGTCTTTATATGAACAACATAATTTATCTTTCTCAGGCCTACTTTTGACTTTTAAGAGGGAGCAATCAATTTTATTGTTATTTTACTATCTCAAAAACATTTTTTTTTTACAAATTTGGCGCCCAACGTGGGGCTCGATAGTTATTCAGTTCGATATTTGTTCGTTAAAATGAAAAAACACCTGGTAGTTCTTAAAGCAACCAGAAAACCGGTATTAAAATGTCTAGATGATGCTCATCAAGGTATTGGAAGAGCTGTACATGAGAAACTTGTTTACTGGCCATATATGAAATTTCGAAGAAGTTTTCGCTGATTGTTTATCAGTTTGGCCCTTTCCTTACCTATAAGATGAGAATGAGAATCCAAATGTTTTGCAAATCATCCGATTGAAAGACGTTGGGACAATAATATAGGTGTTATAATTGAGACAGGTCAACGTAAAAACAACACAATTAATAAGAGTATAAGTCTAGACCCTATAAAAAAAAATTCTTTTCTTTTATAAGAAAATCTTATTTATTCTTCGATACATGATACATTCTTTATAGGAAAGTCTCTCAAAATATATTTTTCCCTCAATAGAGCATATTCATATAGGATTTAAAGAAGGCCCTTCGCGTACAATGGATAAGACAATTTTTTTCTTTTTTGTTTTGCTAAAGGGCAGCTTGCAATTTTCCATGTCGTCAACATGCTTTTATCAGAGGGCTGCCAACGACGTTTATATTTCCTTTTATACGGAGCGCAAAGGATTTGTGTTTATTAAATTCCTGGATAAAGACATTCGTGATTACACGCTTGGTTACTTTTTGGGCCTTGCTTTCTAAATAAGGTAAATTTCTTTTGTTTCAGAGTCAGACCGAGCCTAAATCTGAAATACGACCCTCAATGAAAAAACGTATTGTGTCTAGTGAAGATAGCTTAACAAAACAGCTTTCGGTGCTGAAAAAGGCACAATAGAAGGTATCGAGAAAAAACAAATCAATGTACAAAAATTTCTAGGTCTAAGTTAATCGTCTATATTCTTGGATATCGAATTAGGAGATAATTAATAATCAATATTTCAAAAGCCAAACAATTAATCATTAATCTTCAATAATTTCCTAAATTTATCTCATAATTCCTTTAACAGAATATAGATTAGAGCTGTAGAAGAAAAAAAAAAATGATATAAAGACTGATCAAAATGTAAGTATTACTAAACTATTAGAGACACTTCAATATGCTGCTTTTAAAATCAATCCTTCCAATTTAGATAGGCCACTGTGTAGATAGCAAAATAGAATAAATCAACATAAATATAACATCCTAATCAAAAATACATATTCAATTATAATTATTATTAAGTACATTAAGATGCTGCTTTGTCTTTAGAAAAAAATGGAACATTTCTATTCTCAAATTATTGTACATAATTGTAAAAAATATGGCTGGTAGCTTATCTGTGTTAAAATAATGTAGAATTTTTGTTATATTTTTTTTTCCTTCATTAGATGAGACAGGGTATGTCGTTATAAACTTAGAAAAGGGTGTGATTTATATACCTACCTATATAAACAATTTAAATATTTTACCAAAGCAGGAAAATTTACTACTTGTCCACCCTGTATGAAGTTAAAAGATGTTATTAAAATCTCAAAAATTCTAATGTTAAATTAATGATTAAGAAGTTTAGTTCTCAGAAATTGCAGATTAAACCTGTGATACAGAGAAACAAGGACTGTGCATGTTAGTATACATTTGTTTAAAAGTCTTTACGACTCTTGACCGAAATTAGATCAAGGATTTTTTTTTTTTTTTTTTCTCTTCAAACGAAACAAATTAGAAATGTAAAATTCTGACAACAGAACCTTGAGCTGAAAATACCTGCATTAGATTTCACTGACAATAAATGTTAACAAAACAAATGGTTATTGTAAATACTAGACCTACTTATCTATTTTACCATTATAGTTAGTTAGTTGACAGATGTTAGAAGCTATTTTACTCAAAATATATTTATTATGCAACAAAATGACAGAAAAATACAGCACTTTATAAATATTTTTGTAAATTATAATGTAGCGTCTTAAACCAGATGATAACAAACTGTCAATATGAATTTGTATTATAGCTTGAGCATTTCTAGTAGGGACTTAGTAGTCTATTTCTATCTTTAAAGCAACTTAGATTATCATTTTTGTATCATCTGATTCATGACCAAAAAATGTGCTTAACTGCTCTATAGGTATATGTTTAAATATAAAGTACACTTAATGATGTCTAGAAATATAGGGAAGCAATACGTTTCACATCTCCTAAACAGTATCCTGAGCATTCCACCATATTTTTAAACTGAATAACGTATTTGCTTCAAAGTATTTTGAATTTGTTGGGTGTATTTTTGAAATTATATTTTAGAATCGATGGAAATTTTTTGTAAGAATTGGATATTACATGATCATTTGCCCTAATTCAAGTGATCAAAGTAATAAAATCAGTGTAAGATGACGGGTGCAGAGGCGCACACTATTGTACATATCTCTTCATATTTTTTTACAAATAATGTATCTATAATTAAATATATTTTGATAATATTATAAAATTATATCCTATAAATAGCTAATGTACGATAACTATTGTTAGTTAATAAAATCAATTATTAAACAATTTGATTGATTTAAGACGACTCACGCTGACGGGTGTATAAACTATTATATCCTACTGACTGAAAATAATAAATGTCAATACGAAAGTTGAATTTGGGTTTTATTGAAGTTCCTATGAAAAAAAAAGTATACCACTAGTATACTTCTTACCAAGTGTGACAAGTAGATTCAAAATTAATTTGTTTACTACCAGAGTGCAGAGTTATTTAATAAAACACTCAAACTTTTGTAACTAATCTATTTACAAATGGCTACTTTTGTAATGAAATTTAGACTAACTTTAGTAGGTAATTTATACTTTAAAATAAATCAGAACCAACTTTATCCTTAAAAGTTTAGTTTAAAATAAAGTCAGGGTTTTGATGACTTCAGAGGGTTTATGCTGCAATTGACCGACAACGCCGCTTTCCCGTTTCAGCAAAATTATTTTCTGAATTTCAGGCTTTGCGTAGAAGAAATGCATTAGTGGACTGTAATTTCAAGGAAAAGAAAAGATAGAATTTAAACTGAACTTTAACGTGATTTATTTCGGTATTATTTTTTAGGGGGTCAAACAAAAAGAATAATATTATTTGAGCAACAAGCGCACAGGCCTAAACATGCGTATTGCAAATACAGTGGTGCCACTTTTGGTAGAAGCAATTGAATTTTTTGTTTGTTCTGAATCTCTTGCTGTCGTGCTTGCTTTTTTAGACTTTAAAAAATTTTAAATTTATTATTTTGCAAGTCTAAACACAGACACCAATTTAAAATTGATAAAGTTGAATGACAATTGGATTTTCTGTGACATATTATTTTGTAAAATATGTGTTCTACTTTTTATCTAGATTTATTATCAAAGGAAACTTTCTCGGCCAATTTGGAATCAGACATAGAAATTATATTTAGGCAAAGAAAACTGTAGAGGTAAAAAGAGAATTTCAACTGTAATCTGATTAGGAGTTACAAAATATTTAAGAGATTATTAGAGTTGCATTAAATACGATAAAATGTCTTCATTTAATTTCCTCCAATAATTTCCAATGAAAATAACATTGCATACCTATATCACCTATACCCAGTAGGGTGTGTGTAAATTTTGTCAAACGATGAAAAGAAAGATCTGATCCTATGTAACCCCTTTTGTTAACGAGTTAACAGGACACCTAAAAAAAAATTAATTAGCTATAGATAATTGGTAATTAAAAAAAAAAAAACAGGCATACAACTCAACCAAATCTTGACACAGGTTAAACCAATAAAACACTCAAGGAATTTTCAAATTAAAATAGTTGTTACATAACCCTCCAAGCTGGCCACCCTGTTTGTAGTTTTTAACTGTTAACTGTCATATAGAGGCAGATAGAGGTCGAACCACCGACTGCCCGCCACAAATTGGCGCCCAACGTGGGGCCTTCCAGGATTGTGAAATGTGATTTTAGTAAGAGTTACAACGAAAGTGTGCTTTGAGACATTGAATCGACACTGTCTCAGTTTGATTTTGTGTTGATGTACTTTCCTTTGAACACTGTCATTTCAGTTTCATCTCGGAAATATCGCCGCCATACTATACCTTTCTTTTTTTTTGCCAATAATCAATAATTACGTTTCATTATTGCAAAACGTCCATACTCACCACTGACGTTAAGGTATTGTTGCCACCTCTTGTTTTGTCAAGCGCAATCCATAGTTGGGAAGTTTCTTTTGACAAAACCGCAATATACATTCTATTTTAAAGTTGATGCCTTTAAGATCTGGTGAAGGATTTCAGCCACAATCAAGCACCATGCCACAAAATAATGAAACTGCTCCTCCAGTACAACAGATTGTTAGATTATTAGCTGGTATACAAAATGTGAATATTGGTACATAGGCAACTCAAGTCCAACAAAATGTAAGTACCACAGCTAACTTTTCTGCAGGTAAATCTCAGTTTAGTGGAAATATCGAGGAAGATGTCGATGCATTCATCGATGCCAGAACTGTTTACAAAGATTCCCTTGATATACCAGACCAGCATGCTCTCAAAGGACTTTCAATGCTAGTGCATGATGTTGCTGCTACCTGGTGGCAGGGAATTAACTCCTCGATAAACAGTTTTAATGGAGCTATTTTGTCATTAAAGCATGCTTTTGGTAATTCGAAACCACCTCATCAAATTTGCAGAGGGCTGTTTTCAAAAGTGCAAAATGAGAAAACGAAGATATTTGTTAGTAAAGCTCGCGCGTCATTAATCAAATATCGCTGGTTCCCACTTAAGAGAGATACTGCTAACAGAAAAAGCCCCTTATCATTAGGAAAATTTAAATATGACCTTAGCAGATGGTAGAACTTCTACAGTAAATGCCTTTTATTTTGATGTGAAAGATGTCTTGGAAAATAGAAATCATCATGTTACCATGATTTCTGCCCATCATAAAGAAAGCAGAACACTTCTATGTAGAGGCAGATTTTCTTAAATCAGCAAATATTATTTTGGATGTTCCCCATAATTCATAGTTCTATAGCGATGAACTGAAATAAGTTACAATCCTATGTAACCCCTTTTGTTAACGAGTTTGAGTCGGAACCAATTAAACCTGTGTTAAACCGCAACCAATTCTGTCGACAATAATTGTTCAGTCAATATTAGAGCGGATGAAGGTTTAAGCCTTTCGCCAAGCGAAAATCATAGATTCAACAAGATGCTTGAGGCAAACCAAGATCTTTTCAATATCAGTGTAGAACCGACTCTTTTTGCAGGACATGTTATTACCTTGACAGATGACATCCCAATTGCCGTTCCTCCTTATCGACTGTCTGAGACTAAAAGGATCAAGTTAAAGCAAGAAATTGACAACCTACTTACGAAAGGGAGAATGTGAATCTCCCTACTCTGCTCCTATAGTTCTGGTTCCCAAGAAAGATGGTGGGACCAGGCTGACCATTGATTACCACCGGCTTAATGCTTAGACGACGCCAGAAAGGTATCCGTTGCCGCGGATTGACGATATCCTCCATGCAGCAAAGACGACGCTTTACTTACATGATAACACTAGATCTTAAGTCTTGTTATCATCAGGTGTCAGTTGGACCCTGTGTTCGAGATAAGACTGCATTTATCTGCCCCTTTGGGACGTTCCGCTACACAAGAATGCCTTTTGGACTGCGTAATGCGTAATCTACCTTCCAGAGGCTAATTGACAGATTTCGCTCAGGACTTCAAAATATTAATCTGTTTGCATATCTTGATGATATAATAATCTTGTCTGATTCCATTGAATCCCATATCGATCAACTAAAACAAGTGTTTGAGCGCTTGAGATTATTCAAACTTCGCCTAAGCTGCAAGAAATGCAGACTATCCTGTTCTTGGCTAGAGTATCTAGGCCAATGTGATAACACCGCAAGGTATTGCGCCAAGTTCTGAGAAGATTACTACTATTTCGAAAATCCCAGTGCCACGAAATGTTAAGGAACTTCTGTCGTTTTTACAAACCTCATGATATAGACGATTCATTGAAAAATAGGTATCTCTGAACCGTTAACAAGCTGATCCGAGTCAGCCCTATATTCTGAAGACTGACGCTTCTTCTTATGCTCTTGGAGCATGTCTGCTTCAGGGGTAGGATACAGACGAACGACCCATTGAATACGCAAGTCGGCAACTTACACTTGCCGAACAAAACTATACGACCACAGAAAGAGAGGCTTTAGCTAGCTGTTGTATGGGCCGTAATCAATAAATTTCGTGGTTACCTAGAATATGCATCAGTTGTTGTCAAAAGTGATCATCAACCATTGCGATTTCTGATGACATTGAAATCACCAACAGGACGTTTAGCCAGATGGGCTTTGGCACTTCAATCATTTGATCTTTAGATTAACTATTCACCAGGCCAAACTGATGTCATTGCGGATGTGCTATCACGAGCACCAGACCAAGAAATGAAAGCAAACTTGGTAACCGTGGATTTGCCACGTAATGCAAGTTGTGCCCAAATCACAGATTCCCGAGATATTATTCCAATACCAAGGCTCACCGTTAGGTAGTCATTATGGAATAGAGCGTACTCACCAAAGAATAGCCAGTCGCTATTTCTGGCAAGGCATGCGCAGAAATAAAGCCGACTATGTCAACAAGTGTGTTGAATGCCAAATATACAATCAAAATCTAAAGCCAGCATCAGGACAACTTCAAACTCCTGTTCAGTCCCAACGTTTCGAAACAATATCAATTGATTTATTCGGACCTCTACCTGAGACCGAAGATAATTATAGGTGGATATTTATCATAGAAAATACATCAAGCCGATGGGTGGAGATATTTTCACTTAAAATAGCATCTTTAGAAAATTGTGCTATGGCGTACCCTGAAGAGTTATCAGTGACAACGGTGTGCAGTTCGTTAGCTCAGTAATGCAGCAAGTTGCACTTTGCCTCGGATTTAAGCAGACACTAACTCCAGCCTATCATCCTGAAGCAAACCCGGTGAGAGAAAAAATAGATACTTGAAAACCCAACTTTCTATCCTGGTGCAAGATGACCATACACAATGGAAAGATAAGCTACCAGCCATTAGTTTATCAATGAATACCAGCCGATCATAAGCCACAGGTTTCAGCGCCGCCTATCTTACTTTCGGAAGGAAATTGAGGACTCCAGATGATGTGAATCGAGACCTTCGTGCCATTGTAGGAAACGATAATATTGTGAGTCAAATAACTCCTTAGGTACTTGCAATCCCTCAGTAAGACACTCCGAGAAGCCCGAGACCACCACGAGATCCAGCAAGATCGAGCAAAATACTATGCACATAAAAGCCTTCGTGACGTTTCCTAATTTTCGTGTGGAGATAAAGTACTGGTCAACTCACATGTCCTAAGTAAGGCCAAAGACTCGTACACTTCAAAATTTGCACCGAACCAAGATGGTCCCTATGTAGTATCCAAAATCGTATCGACTACCCCTTATGCAATCTCCTCACCCCAGGCTCCGCATACTATATTAGGAAAGTAGCATGTATCAGCTCAGAATGAGGACCCAAACCCAGTTAGACATCTTCAAAAGCGTGGAAGACCTCAAAGTTCAACTTCAGTTGCAGACAATGCAGGTGATTTTTCAAATAAGAAGT